AGGGGTGAGGCCTGGTGGAGGGAGGGTAATCATTGGGACCTCACCTGCGGTGCATATTGCAAGGGTACATCTCAAATCTATTAAGAATAGAGTATAAATGTCTTAACACAATAATTAAGTGAGTGAGGTGAAGGCTATGTTAACCAGTTTGATATAAGCATTCCAATTGTATATAAAATCAGCATTTGTACCCCATAAATGCATTAATGTACACAGTTATGATTTAATGAAAAATTGTTAAGAGTAAACAAAAAAGAAAATAGAAAGAAAGAAAGACAAAGAAACTAACCTCTTATAGACACAATCTGGTTGATCTTTGATAAACCAAACAAGAAAATATTCCAGGTAAAAGAATCATTATTCAATAAATGGTGTTGGGACAACTAGATAACCAAATGTAAAAGACTCAAACTGGACCCACACACCTCACGGGTTATAAAAATTGATTCAAGCTGGATAAAAGATTTAAATCTAAGGCATGAAATAATAAAAATCCTCAAAGAAAGTGAGGGGAAAACTTGAAGATATCAGCCTGGGGAAAGATTTTATTAAGACTTCTGTGACAACTGCAACAACAAAAATAAACAAATGGGACTTAATTAAACTGAAAAGCTTCTGTACAGCTAAGGAAATAACAACCAAAGCAAGCAGACATCCTTTAGAATAGGAAAAGATGTTTGCATATTATGAATCAGACAAAAATAGATGTTTGCATATTATGAATTGAATAACTACGATCTATAGAGAACTCAAATTAATCAACAAAACAGATTCAACAATCCCATACATCACTAAGTAAGAGTCATAAATAGAATCTTCTCTAAAAAAGACTGATGAATGGGTAACAAATGTGAAAAAGTGCTCATCATCCCTAATCATCAGAGAATGCAAATCAAAACTACCTTGAGATATCACCTAACCCCAAGGACAATAGCCCACATTAGGAAGTCTCAAAGCTGCACATGCTGGTGTGGATGTAGAGACTTTTACGCTGCTGGTGGAACTGCAAACTGGCATAACATTTTTGGAAGGAAGTATGAAGAATCCTCAGAGAACTCAAATTAGGCATCCCATTTGATCCTTCCTGCCCAGAAAAAAAAATTATTTTATAATAAGGACATTTGCACTAGACTATTTATCACAGCTCAATTTACAATTGCCAAAATGTAGAAATAGCCTAAAGGCCCACTAACCCAGGAATGGATTAACAAGCTGTGGTATATGTATACCATGGAATCCTATGCAGCCACTAAAAAAGATGGAGACTTTACATTTTTTGTATTAAACCGGACGGAGGCACAATGCATTCTTCTCAGTAAAGCATCACAAGAATGGAGAAGCAAGAATCCAATGTACTCAATTCTAATATGAAGGCAGTAGATGATCTAACACAAGGTGAGGGTAGGGGAATGAGAGAGTGGGGAAAGGAGGGGGGGAGGGTCACAGTGTATAGTGCACCTCTTGGAGGTGGGACACAATTGTAAGAGGGCCTTTATCTGACAAATACAATCAGTGTAACCTAATTCTTTGTAGCCTCAATGAATCCCAAACAATAAAAAATAGATAAATAAATAAATTTTAATTAATTAATTCAAAACAATAATATCTCAACCCATACTGGAGATATGCTTGTGTGTGTAGAGAAAGAGAGAGAAACAACGGAGAGAAAGAGAGAGAGGATCAGATAGGGAAGCAACGTAGAATTAGTGCCCTTACAAAAGGGAACTAGAGAGCTCTCTTTTCCTTTCTGCTAAGTGTTTCAAGAAAATGACCTTCTTCTAAATAGGAAGCAAGCTGTCACCAGTCACTGGATCTACAGTGACCTTGACTGTGGACTTGCCAGCCTCCAGACCTGAAACACGTAATTGTTTGTTGCTTAATCACCAGGTCTACCTGGCACTTTGTCAGGGCAGCCTGACCTGAGTGACAGAAACAGGTAGCCCTCCATAGGGATGAAACCATCACAAATACCTAAAATAGCAGAAGAGACCTTAGAACTGGGTAATGGGCAAAGGCTGCAAGAGTTTTGAGGTTCTATAAAAATGAACATTCAGGGTTCTAGTGGTGAGGACTCAGAAAGAAGAGAACGATACAAAATGTTCTGTTTTCTTAGCATTTCTAAATAATCACTAACAGTATATTGGTGGGAACATGGTCAGTGAAGTTATTTTCATGAAATCTTGGAGAGAAAGGAGGACATGTTATTGAAATGGGAGGAAAGGCAGTTCTTGCTACAAAGTGGTAAAGAACTTGGGTGAATGGTGTTCATATTCTAGTATGTAGTGGAGGGTAAAATTTTGGAGCGATGAAACTGGATATTTAAGTGAGGAGATTTTTAAGCTAAGAGTGGAAGTAGTAGCTTGGTTTCCTCTGACTATAATGTAACATGAAACAAGAGAAATTGAAGATGGAGTTTTTAATGCAAAAAAGGAATCATAAATCTAGGACTTGGATATATCTCAGCCTGTCCACTTCACAAAAAAACAAGAGAGTGCGTTTAATAGAAAATGCTAAGAGTTGGCCAACAGATTATTTGATAACAAGATTAACATGGGTGTGAATTACAGACTTCACTCTCTGTGGCTGTGTTGACAACAGCAAGGAATAGACATGAGATTGGAAAAGCTGAAACACTGCCAGCTGGTACTAAAGAAAACTGAGAAATTGGTAAAAATGCAGAAGGACTGTCCAACTTCTTGAACACTGTAGAATCTGATTATAGAGCTCTTCAGCTGTGCACATGTGCTATCCTTCAAATTAAGGGGAAAAAAACTCTAATGTGAGTCAGCATCATCAGGCCCAGATACGTGGTGGCTTTCGTAATTATTTCAAAGTGTAGGATCAATGCTAGGACATCCATGAGGCAGGGCTCAGGCCCAGTTTAGACCTGCTGGTGAGACCCCTGCATGTGGGTGAGTCCACCACAGAGTACCACACACTGGGCAGTGCTTCTCTGAGTGAGGGAGATTATATATGGAAGTTGGGCTTCCACCCCAGTGAGCATTAAAGGAAGAGAATCTATTGAGCCAGAGAAGGGTTATTCCTGAGACTGAAGTTGAATGAAGTTTACCGTGTAAGTGTTTGGACTGATATGAACTCTGTCATCACTTTTTTTCTTTCTTCTGGCCCCCTTTTGGAACAGGAATGCCCCATCATTGCATTTTGGAAGCACGTGGCTTGTTTGGATTCATAGGTTCACAGCAACACAGGACCTTGAGTCTTACCTTCTTTTGGTTTAGATGATATTTTGATGAGACTTTAGACTTCAGAGTTGATTTTAGACAAAGAAAATACTTTGGGGGCTCTTAGGATTAATGTGTTTTGCATGCAAGAAGGACACAAATTTTGAGGCGCTAGAAGTAGAATGTTATGTAATGAAGTTCTGTGTTCCTCTAAAATTTATATCTTGAAATCTTATCCTTCACTCTAATGGTATCAGAACGGGTGCCTTTAGGAAGTAATTAGGCCATCAGAGTGGAGCTTTCCTAATGAAACTAGTAACCTTCTAAGAGAGACCCTAGGGAGCTCTCTTTCTCTTTCTGCAGGGTGTGCATACAAAGAGAAGATGACCATCTGCTAAACAGCAAGAAGGTCCTCACCAGACACCAGATCTGCTGGCACCTTGATTTTGGATGTTTTAGCCTCCAGAATTATGAGAAAGAAACATTAATATTGAACTCATTCAGTAGATGGTACTCCTTTATAGCAACCAGAATGGACTGAACCAGTATTCATGTAACTTTAAGGGAAGGATTCAAATAAGTACAGACAGCAAGTTATATGTGCATTCATGACAGTTCCTGAGATTTAACTCCATGTGATCTCTTGTGTTGAGGCCAACACTGAATACTTGATCCATCTTATCATTACTTTCCACATGGAATAAAACTTTAGAAGATATTTCCCTATTTCTATGTCAATAGGGTATTTCTGCTTTACAAAACTATTTAATGTTTTCTTTCATTTTCTTCTTACATACTAATCATTCAACACTTTAGGGATGCAGTATTCAGAATACATCGTATCTTTGTTTTTGTGTGTTTTTGTTCCTTTCCCATAGCTGTAGGTATGTGGCAGGAAATTCAAAGGGCAATAAGTCTCAAAACAATACTGCAGGATTGATGTATAAGTGAGGAAAGGAAAATCTTACCATGCCTTGATGGTGCTATCAGAATTTATGGATGGGGCGGGGGAGAGAGATGAGCAAGTCTCAGCTCCTTGCAAAGTCTGGGCTTTGAGCAATTCCATAATTATTTCACCCTAGGACTGACTAGAAATGTGCTTCCACTCACTCTGCCTAAAATGCAGCTCAAACACTGATTTTAGGTCTGAGGACATCAATTTTGGAATAATTAGAAAATTTATTAATATATTTTTGCTTTTGTTTGATACAGTCTCATTCTGTCAACCCAGCTAGAGTGATGTAGCATCATCACAGCTCACTACAGTCTCAAACTCCTGGGCTCAAGCAATCCTCCTGCCGCAGTATCCCCAGTGGCTGGGACTATAGGCATGTAACAAGATACCTGTCTACTTTTTTTCCTATTTTTAGTAGAGACAGGGTCTTGCTCTATTTCACGCTGGTCTGAGCTCAAGCAACCTACCTCAGCCTTTCTGAGTGCTAGGCTTACAGGTGTGAGCCACCACGCTCAGTTTGTTAATATCTATTCTAACACACTATTAATGCATGTTAATATCATTAATCATGAGGATCACTATTGAGGTTGTATATTAAATCCCTTTATAAAGAAAACCTTGAGATTTGCTAGCTTGAGTTACATGTCTAATATCACACCACCAGTAAAACATCGGTGCACTGATTGATAGTGGCTGTTCTTGTTCAATTTCTGTGGCATTTCTTCTGTTCTTAGGTAAAGTCATTATATTTTCAAGCACCATATTGTGTAATTAAATCATCATGCAGTTTTGGTTAGGGAGTTTTTTTTTTTTTTAATTTGTTTTTACTGTCACATAGAAAACAATATGTTTCTTTATCTCACCTAACAGCACTACTGCCCACATCCAGGTCTTGGGCGGTGACAGCCCCAATGATTGTCCCAACTGGAGTGTCTTCGTAAACTTCCATGGTGTAGAGTGGCTTGCTGAAAACTGGCGGCTCATCCACGTCCAGCACGCTGATCTTCACTGTGGCTGTGTCCTTAAAAGGACCGGCAGAGTGAAAGCGGTGGTCAAGGTGAAGGTTAGAGGCCTCTACTTTAAAAGTATATGCCTTCTTTGTTTCAAAATCTAATGGCTGTAATGGGAACAAATCAAAAATGAAGGGGCGCGTTTATATAGAATGTGATAAAAATGGTGAACATTACTTCAGAGCACTTTGCAAGTATAACCAATTGTACTGGTTTCAAATTTTCATTTTCCTTTATAATTAGTGGGTAAGGAAATTATGTATAAGGCCAATATTTTAAGAAAAGAGTCACACACGTGTAGAAGCTCAGTTGCATACATTGAAATCTACGTTCATGCGGACACCGTGCTAGACAGGCTTAGTCATTTTATATGAGCAAAGCTAAAATACCAGGTGAGCCAAAGTAAAACATCTCTCTGCTCTTATTCAATACTGACCTCTAGTGGAGTTAAGTAATGATTAAAAAAGGCTGAACAAAAATAAATTGGATAATTGAAAACTCTTTAAATTCCAGCTGCAAATTCGAAATAACAAATATAGGATTTTTATGGGACCACTTTTCTTATTTTAAGAATAATGTCATTTTTCTATTAAATTTTTTTGAATGTTGTGGTCTGTTCACTAAAAGAAAAAGATCTGTATCAAGATTTAAATGCATACGCGGTGGCAATTATGAAAGGTGTCTGGTTCTCTCTGTTCGCTGAACTAAATATATGTATTTATCAGAATTCAAGCTCATCATCAGCGTATGTGCCAAGATTTATGGATTTCACATATGATCAAATTAAAGATGGCCATGACACATAACATAGGAAGTCATTTTCTATGAAGTCATTGATGTTTGATTTTAGCTAACCACAGTTTACATTCACCCTCGCTGTGAAATTAGGTTTATGTTCCAAATAACTGATAATACTATATTCCCCACATAGGATGATACTGTGGTGCATTTTTGAAGTGTTAAGTTTAAAGTCAATGGCTTGGACTTCTTATTGCTTACGAAAGTATAACACAAGATGAGTTTAAAATTAACATAATGATTTTCTGAGACCTTTAAAAATTTGTTTTCTAAAGTAATTCCTTCCAGTTTTACTCCACTGGCTAGCTAATTCATACGTTAACCCTTGTTCCTATATTCAATACACTTGATGAAATTAAACAAGGTAGAGTTTTACCTTTTAAAGATACGATTGTTGTTTTATGCATTTCCTCTTTGAAGGAGGGGAAAAAAAAAGAAAAAAGTACTGTGAAATTCTAAAGACCTCTCATAATTCCATGGAATTTATATTATAGGAAAACAATAGTACTGCCTGGATAGGACATTGAGGCCCTTTGTTAGTAATTATTTTCCTTCAGCAGGACCTATATTTATTTTCCCTGTAATTACTCCCTTTTTAAAATCTAAATCATCACCTTTATATTGAAGTTGTGTCTGTTTTTCATTCAATGCTTTCTTTAACTTCCTATATGCTATGCACTCTCCTCATAACTATTATCATCTAATACTGATTTCCTTTCATTTCTATCTTTTTGGTTGCACCAATAATAAAGGCACTATAAGTAAAGAATTGTGCGCCTGCTATGCCATGATTGATAATATGCTAATTGGTTACAGGAATATAAATGTAATATTTAGAAAAAGAGACAGATGGTCCAATGATGCTTTTGTTTTGATCAGCCTAATGTTTGGCTAATGTATTCTGTTGAAGGAATCAGACTTGAGAAAAGACAACCTATTGTCAGAGTAGAATGGAAAATCTTTATTCAAGCCATAAGTAAGAAAACACTACAATGACTGAGAATGTCTAGCTTGGAATGGAGAAGATCAAGGCAAAAAAAGAACACATGTTTGCAATATCTGAATGGCTGTCATGTTCAATATTAGACTTATTCTATAGATCAGTTGGTGTGAATTAACAATAAGTCATTAAAACCTATAACTTTAGAGAAAGAGAATTAAGTTTATTTGCTTATACATTTGTGCTTTTTTTTTGTTTGTTTGTTTTGCTTTGTTTTTTCAGTTTTTGGCTGGGAGCCAAAACTGGTTTTGAACCCTCCACTTCCAGTGTATGGGGCCAGTGCCCTACTCCTTTGATTCACAGGCGCTGCCCTGCTTATATATTTCTTGATGTTTTATATGTTGGCCAAACCTGGGATACATCCTAGGAGGACAGAAAGATGCAAAGATGAATACACCTTTCTTTCTCAATATATTCAACAAGTTAAAGAATAAATGAGTTTAATAAATGAGTTTGAAGAAGTATCAAGTTCTTCATAATTAGATGTGTTTAATAGAAATCAAATATTTTAGGAGATGTGAGACTGAGAGAGAATAGTTATAGGATACAAAGGTCCATTAGCTAATTCATATTAAAGAACACTTAAAAACATATTAATATTTCTGTTTTGTAAACTCTAAATGCTCTAAAAGTGTAAAAATATGTTTCTATGATAATTATCCCAAACTTCTAGTATAAGACTATTCTAATTTTATCATCTTACTGATCCTTTTGCCTTTCCTAAGCAAATAACCTGACCTAGCTCATAGTAACTCTCTTATTTGGCCACAAATTAACTTCTGTCTTAGAATATTAAGAGTTAGTACTCATTTCTCTATTTACTCCTCGATGTTGAAAAGCCTCTGGTTATTATCTACATGATTAGGCCAATTCTTTTCTAAGTAAGATCTTAATTTTATTTCCCTACTGGTTCACACACTGCAAATGTCTGGATGAAATTGACTCCCAACTGGTAAGTCCATTTCAAGCCAGAGATGAAAGGAGAATTCTGAAAACCTTTCCTATTTTTCTAAGGAGATCAGACAGAGACTATACCTTTTAAGAACTCCTGACCTATCACAGCAGGCAAATATTTGGTGTCACATAGATAGAGCTTGAGATGAAGGAAGCTTTCTGTACATATAGATTTTTTGCAACTGAAAACTTATATCCTACCATGATCAAAGAACTAGAGGAAATGGCACAATGATATCCTGGTGGACTTACTTCCTGAGGACCCTGACCCTTAGGCAATCCCACTTTACAAAGCAGTATAAATTTGTGAAAGAGCAAAGGAAATCTCTCTCTACTTGACTTTCACCACCCATCTGACTGACTACCCTCCACTATTTGTAGGAACAAACTTTTATGTAACAATCAGTACAAATACTATCATTTTAAATAGGTTTAGAACAAACAGGATATTTTTTAATCCTTAGAAAATGAATCATATTTTATCATTGAAATACATTATTATGAAGTTGAACTATTTAGGTCTTACACAATAAACAGAAAATTCGGTGGTCTTGATTGGGGCCCAGGCAATTTTATGAACCTTTCTAGAAGGGTTAAGACAATAATTAACAAAAGAGAATTTAGTTGAGCGTCTCCTTGCTGTGTAAGGTGTTTCTATAAAGGATGACTAAGGAGAAAAGAATTTTCACAAAACAACTTGCACTGTAGAAAGTGGTGCAATGAGAAACCCCAACTATGTAGAAATGGAATATGGCATATTTAATTTTTCTCTGGTGTGTAAAAGGAAAATTCAAGATACCACATTTTTTTGTCCATTATCTTTTCTACTTTGTTCTTAATTTGCTGAAGTCCAGGTCATGGAAATTTACATAAAATTCTAAATGCCATACGATTTTCTCTTTTTAACACAGCTAAGCAATGGGGGGCACAGATATAAATGAATAGCTCCCCGAACTCTTCCAGGCCTCATCATGCTTAAGGCAACGTTGGTGGGAATGGATAGCTACAGTCACATGTATTTTGAGGAATGTGAAGCACAGCAGCTGTGACATGCAGAATTCCACAAAGCCCCCCTTGATTCGTGCGCCCAGAGATCTCAGCCTTGCATGAGGGACTCTGCCCTTGAGTATGTGAGAGGCCAATGAATTGAAAGGCATTTTACTCGTGAGGGCTTGTTAAGTTTTTATAGAAAAGTGAATACTGCAGATATAATTAAGGTCCTTAATCACTTGACATTGAATCAATTAAGAGAGATTTTAATACTTCAGAGGTCTGACCTAATCAGAAGAGCCTTTACAAGAAAGAGCTGACGCAGATGATTTCCTGACTGCCTTAAAAAAATAAACTTGTGAGCATAGGAGCATGTGTGGCAAGAGCCTGGGGTGCGCCTATGGGAGCTTAGTCCAGATCCTGACCAAGAAGTAATGAAAGAATCATAAAAGCCACAAGAAACAGTAATTACCACGAGAGACCAGCCACGAGGAACTCATCTGCCAGCAACCTTGAACTTGAGAAAAGACTGTAAGCCTCTCTAAACCTTGGGGATCAGATTTCAGTCCCAATGTAAGCCTTGATTTCAGCCAGAAGGATCCTGAGCAAAGGACCCCGTTAGACCACCTTCTGGCCTACTGAAGCCGTGTTTGCTCTGCTTTGCTTTTTACTGTTCTCTATGACCTCACTTTTATGTTGAGCAAGTGTTATTTTCATGGACACAATAAAGCCATCAATCTTAAAACAAAAACAAAAACAAAAACAATTCTTATTCTTTAGTAAAATAGTAAGACACTGCTTTCTCGATCATCTAGCCGGTCTTAAGAGTCAATGGCAAGGAAAACTGTCAATGAACCCAAGTGATCAAGGCTTGTATGTTTATCTGAAACAGACTAGATCCTTTCAAAGACAGTCATAAGAAAGGAAATTTATACGGCGATGAACCTGGATGAAACTGATACTAGAAACAAGTTCTTATAAAGTAGTTTCATTATACCAGGCTGAACAATGAAGATGAGATGATGGGAACAATCATCTTTCTAACAAAAAAAAATCAAGGTTCCCCAAACTTAGTTTTCTGATAAATATAGTAGCAAATTCTTTCTGGGAGGCTACGGGGGAGTTTGTGTGTATCTCATCATCATTGAGGAAATGATTTATGCTATATGTTACTAGAAATATTCAATTATTTGATGCATAAAAATTGTCCCTATATGAACAGAGAATGTTTCCTTAACGCTCTGAAAAACAGTGAAATGTGGTCTTCTTTAGACTAGATTTTAGTTTGGACAAAATTTCAGTAGTATTTGTTATAAAACTTTTAGAAATATATGAGTATGGAATTATCAGTCAAAATATGTTTAA